TGACCGACGCCAGTACTTTGGTGACGATCGAGACCAAACTGATCCCACGGTGATTTTCGCACTCGTTGCGACATCATTTCTTAAAAGTGGAAACGATCAGTGGTTTGCCCCAAGATGGAGGAATGCGCTCTTGCGTCCAAATGTTGCGCGGTAAGGTAGTAGTACAGCTTATGAGGTTAGCCCCCATCTTGAAAAAAGTGGGAGGGAGCTCATCTGGTTCTGCTGCAATTACTTCTTTCAGAGCCTGAATGCCAGACCGAACTTCTGCTTCCGTTGGAGGATAGCATGACACTGCCCAAGGAGCTTCAGTTACAGTAACCTGGTTGGTGCTAGGCTAGCTTAACAGTTCACTGAAGCATTTATCCAAGCGATCAAGTCATTGATTCCTTTCGTGAATAGCTTGTCTATTCTTATCGCAGACTATTTCACTAACTGGGGTTCGCCGACCTCCCGCATTGCGTATCAGTCGGAACAGTCTGACTATTCCCAGATACAACTGCCACTTCCACTTCACTAGCTATTGATATGCACCAGTTTTCACGGCCCTTCTTGAGGCTCTTCATGAGCTGACGTTGTAAGTGCCACCTAACTCTGTTTCGATCTTGGCAGGTCGGGATTTGTCGTTTTTTATCCATCAGGACTACCGACTCATGAGATATCCGATGCCTCCTGACTTGAGGCTCAGATCCACAAGCAACGTTCGCTGCGGAATGCATTGCTCCCCTAATCTGATCCCGCTGCTTATCTAAATCAGGTTGCGGCGCACTTAGTCCACGCACTAGATCTGATTAATAACGCACACGAACTGCTGAAACAGACAGCCAATGATGAACCATACGAGTTTGCTGAATTCGTCGCCGGCCAGTCACGACGAGACTACACCTTGACGTTGTGTGATGGCTTGCGTGTCTCCATGACCGTGCGAGCCACACAGCCGTAGATCCAATCATGCCTGAAAGACCAACGGGTAGAGGCCAGACAAAGCTTAGTCTCACAAAGCCAGTTGCTTAGGCACCTCCTGATTTGCACAAACCCTCCCCTGGAGAGGCCACTCCAGCAAATAAACATGGTGAAGGGGCAGTTTACCGGTCAAAACCCCCGCTAGAATGACATAGGAGCGGGATACCGGTTGCTTCCCCTCGACGGTAAGAGAAGTCCTCGCACTTCATTGGACAGCTACCGCCCGCTCAAGCTGGACAGCCTCCAGCCAATGAGCTGTTGTCCCGTCCACGTTCTGCTTGTCTCATTGGGTGCATGAGGCCAAAGGCCGATCTCGTCAACCAACGTACCAGCGAAAAAACACTGAACCGAAACCCGATGGCCTTGCGTGGCAGGTCTCTAAAAGCTCCCATACGGGTGCTCCGTTCACGCTTCTGCGTTGGATATACGCCCCACTGCCTTGTGAGTCAGATTTTTGAGTCGAAGGCTCCGGTTAGGGTTCACAAAGAAAAATCTGTGGGCTACGGCGAAGTATGCCGTGCCTTAAAGTCTTAGGTACCCATTTGGAAACCCATCTTTCCCACCTATCTAAACTGAACTTAAGTCGGAGTGAACTGCATCGGAACTAATACGTAGTCAGACTCAACGCAGGTAGTGGATTTGAGTTAGCGTACCAGTTGAACTGGAGTGCCACGCTGCCGTCCGTCGAGAGTTGTCGGAAGTTGGTACTGGATAAGAACAGATGACCTGCGCAGAACTGAGGAAGTCGATCCCCGTTATCTGTTCGGTCACAGGGCAGAGCACAATTACCACCCAGGCAAACTTTCGATGCGCTCAATTTTCCAACTTGCGCGTTAAGGTCACCTGTAAGTACAACTGCCAACTCATCCAAACAAGATCGGTGAGATCACCGTAGAAAGCGTCAGAACTGCAATCGGTCGATGCATATGCCGATATGGTGAACAAATACCTTTTGATGTTGCTCCCCAAACCGATGCTGATTGAACCCTGGAGACGAACTATACATAAACGACTGAGCAGATTTAGTTGTCGTGTATTTCGTGGCTGGATCTATTCAGCTATTTAGTGATTTTATTTGCTCATGGATCGACAGAATGGGTAACCGAGAGACAGTAACCAAAACCGACGAACAAAAGTTCAATGTTTGCGGACGTACGAATGGAAAGCGAATGTGGCACGAAGGCTTGCTTGCTAAATCATCTACGTTCACATTTCCTCTGCAACTTATGATGCGTATTGTAAGTAGCTTCGGCAACCGTATCATTTCGAGCGCAGTGGAAGGAGCATGCCCGTAGCTACCACTGCGCTGCTGTTCACCAATTAGACCAGAGAAGAGGTGCTAAACCAATATCACCGAACGATTGTTGCGACGTCTATTTTCAGCTAATTTTTCTCGCNNNNGAGCCACTAGAAAATGCACGACCACTCAAGTCACTGTTTTGTCTTAAGGAACAAATTCTACCTAGTGGTTCGTGTTCTCTATCACTCTGATATTCACATGGGTAGCAGCTGCATTGACGAAACAGAAAACAAGAGCGAGACATAAAGCCTTCAAGCTTGTTAAACGTCTATAAAAGCTAAGTAACAAAATCAACTTGAAAATGGATCAAGTTAAGTAATCTACAACCCAAACAATCATAATGTGATCAAAATCGGGTTACAGATCCAAAAATCCTAAATGAACGGACGTTAAATATATTACAGTAGCTTAGTTTCACTGGTAGGGTGTAATCACTTTGAACGACTGAAAATTCAGTGCTTAAAAAATAATCAAACAAAACACAATCATCTGCATCAGTATTTGACTCTACTGAGGCACAAAATTACCTGAGTGCCTTCGCCAATCCCGAACTTGTCGAAAGCATGCACTATAGGATCTCTCCGGACGTCCAGTGGAGGTGCATAAACCTTTTGATACGTACTTGGATTTTGAAAATCTACATCCACAACCCACTGCAACATGTGCGCAAGTCGTCGCTTCTCGAAAAAGCTCACCAAGCCTAAAAGTATAGTTCAGCGGTGCGCTGTGTACCTACCTGAGGTCAAGGCTTCAGTTTCACTGCTGGGAACTCTATGAATAGATTTTTTGTGATATACGTAACTTCCGTCTATGCTTTGGAACTCCAGATATCTTGTCACCTTAGTATGGACCAACAATTTGACAAGGTTTCCTGAAGTAGGCAGACACAACAAGGCACATACCATACGCCATCAGAAACTTCGGGATGAGGTCAACATTCCAATCTCGAGGGCGTCCGTATCTCTCGGGGTTGGTTTTAATGTCGAACTTCTCAAATAAATCGTTCAACGGAGAAATTGACGTGCTAGCGCCACCATAATATTTATTTCGGTCCATATGGAGAACCTTCTTCCCCTCAATGGACATTAAACCACTGAGTATGCATTCCTTAATTTCGAAGATCCAAACTGAGGGACAGAACCTACTTTTAATCCTGTTCCAAGAACAACGACGTCGTATTTTTCGTCCATCGCAAACTTTTAAACTACGCGTCCAACGGAGCTGTGAGATTACAACTTCAAGGTCACCAAGAGTTCAGTCAGTCAGTCAGTCAGTCAGTTTGCACAGGACAGGAGATGGCCACGGCCAAT